AAATTTAAGAGTTGGAAATAAATTTCAAAATAATAATCTACCTTCATCTTTTTATGAAAATGACAAAAATGTAGGGACAACTGGTCTAAGAAGTAAGATTAAACTTTTAAAAATAAGGAAAAAATGAAATTGAGTTTTTCTAAGAAAATCAGTACATATGTCTACTTAACAAGTAAAACACATATTTTTCATTCCCCTTTTTGAAAGAACTATTTGAGTTCATGTTTTTCTGTCTGTAATTATTTACTGGTTTTGAATTTATTTTCTCACTTGATTGTCACAAACAACATCATGATATAGGCATTGCTGTATCCATCTTCCAAATGAAGTCGCCAAAGCACAGAGAGGTCAAAATCAGTTTTCCAAAGTCACACTTCTAGGAAGTAAAAAAGTTGGCATTCAATCCTGAGTTCTTTGATTGTAAAGTCCATGGTTTTCATAATACCATATCACTACTCCTGCTGCAGTAGTTACTAGATTGGCAGGCATTGACATGTAAATGAGAAAGAGATTTTTTTCTACAAGTTTTTACTTTGTTAGCAGGAATATGTAGATAATTAGAATAATATTGTGATTTTAATTGAGAATCAGGTTATCATATATCTTATTTTATTATACTAATGAGGATTCAGTGGAAAGGAGGATACACAGGATTTTTTGAATTAATATGCATTCCCATTTGAACACTGCTCTTTACTTTATTCACAAACCTTTTTATTTGTCATGACACCTCTATTACTTCTTCAATTCAGAGGTAGTCTATATGTTAACATTAAAAGGCATTTTTTTAATAGGGTATACTAGAGGCCCGGTGCACAAAATTCGTGCACAGGGGCGGGGGTGGTCCCTTCAGCTCAGCCTGCACCCTCTCCAATCCGAGACCCCTCGGGAGATGTCCGACTGCCGGTTTGGGATTGGGCCTAAACGGAAGTCGGACATCCCTCACAATCCTGGACCGCTGGCTCCTAATCACTCACCTGCCTGCCTGTCTGATCGTCCCTCACTGCCTCTGAGCGCCAGCCTGATCGCCCCTAACTGCTCCCCCTGTCGGCCTGGTTGCTCCTAACTGCCCTCCACTGCTGGCCAGGTCACTCCCAACTGCACCCCCCCCCCCACTGGCCTGATTGCCTCTTACTGCCCCCCCCTGCCAGCCTGGTTGCCCCTCACGGCACCCCTGCTAGCCTGGTCACCCCATGCAGCCTGCTAGATCAGTTGTTTGGTCATCCCTCACTAACCCCCCTGCCAGCCTGGTTGCCCCATGCAGCCTGCTGTTCAGTCATTTGGTCATCCCTGCCTGGTCATAGGCAGCCATCTTGTGAGGGCATGAGGGTTAATTTGCGTATTACCTCTTTATTATATAGGATACCATTAACTTTGACTCCAATATCACTTTTTCACTGTATTTTTGTAGTGCTAACCCCATCTTGCTATTTAATGTATTAAAATAAAAATTATGAAATATAAAAAATCTAGTCATAAGATAGTCTTCCTGACATTTTGGAAGAATGAGTTTGCAGTTCCTTAAGAATGAATCTGAGACACCGTGGGCAGAAAAGGCACCCATAGCTCCGGCCTCACTTCCCTTTGTCAAACCCACCCCAGCTCCTGCAACACAAATGCCCAGCACATCAGGGTTTGTGGGGTACAATCCATACAGTCATCTCGCCTACAACAACTACAGAATGGGAGGGAACCCGGGCACCAACAGCCAGGTCATGGCATCTTCTGGTATTACAAATCCAAAACCCCCAAGCCACCAGATAAGCCGTTGATTCCCCACATGAGGTATAGAAGAAAGGTCTGGGACCACGTAAAGGCTTCCAACCCTGACCTAAAGCTGTGGGAGATTGGCAAGATTATTGGTAGCATGTGGTGAGATCTCATTGATGAAGAAAAACAAGAATATTTAAATGAATATGAAGCAGAAAAGATAGAATACAATGAATCTAATTCCCCCATGTATCTTGCTTACACAAGTGCAAAAAGTCATGCAGAAGCTGCTTTAGAGGAAGAAAGTCGACAGAGGCAGTCTCGCATGGAGAACCTTACATGAGCATTCAGCCTGCTGAAGATCCGGATGATTATGATGATGGCTTTTCAATGAAGCATACAGCCACCGCTCATTTCCAGAGAAACCACCACCTCATCAGTGAAATCCTTAGTGAAAGTGTGGTGCCAGACGTTTGGTCAGTTGTCACAACAGCTAAAATGCAGATCTTCACTAGCAAAAACTAGAAGCTGAACTTCTTCAAGTAGATGAGCAACATCAGGAAAAGAAGAGGAAATTCCCAGAGAGCACAGATTCATTTAACAATGAACTTAAAATGTTGTGTGGTTTAAAAATAGAAGTGGATATGGAAAAAAACTGCAGCTGAAATCGCACAGGCAGAGGAACAGGCTCGCAAAAGGCAGAAGGGAAGGGAGAAGGGGGCAGCAGAGCAAGCTGAACACAGAGCAGTATTGTTCCTGAGGAAGAACAAGCAGCAAATGAGACTGAAGAAAAGAAAGAAGATGAGAACATTCCAATGGATATAAAGGAGACACATCTTGAAGAAACGTTGGAAAGTCAGCATACTGTTGAAGAAGGCGCGTCTACTCCTGAGGACAAGGAGAGTGGATGGGAGGGCGGTGGACAGTATGACCGAGGAAGGAACCAGTGATAGTAACACTAGCTTGGAGAGCAACCGTGCAACAGTGGAGGAGCCACCACCAGATCCCATACCAGAAGATGAGAAAAAAATACAAATGTTGCCTTGTTTTATGTATTCTACATCCTTTTGTAAATGAAAAAAAAATGTTATTTTAGTTTAAGAAAAATACTAGTCATAGGCAATAAAAGAATGAGAGATTTATGGCGATCTAGTGTGTGTGCTACTGAAGTTGATTCAAATCAGGCAGAGCAAACCACAAGACTAATGCCTATGATCCTGTCAGAAGCCTTAAGAGATCTTCACAAGTAAAGCCCTCAGAAGCTTATAGATATTTGGTGAAGTCAGTTTCAGAAAATACCCACTTGGAGATAGTAAACCCAAGGCCAAATAACAAAAAAAGTTAAAAGGGATGCAAGCCTTATTTAGGAAGGCTCCTGATAGAAACAGAGGTTTGTGAGTCCCATAGATCATATTCACCCTACCCTTATGCAGGCAGTAAAGGTAAAATCTCTGAGGTAGAATAAGTGAATATGACTAGTTGGAATTAAATAAGCTTTAAGTCATATCACTGTGTTTGCTGTTGCTTACATTTACTGCCACTCTCCTTTCTATTAGCTCCACTCTCTCATCCTTCTATTAAGGATTAGCATTGGATAATGATTGGTCAGTCCACTGACTCCAATCTATCTACCTGTCTTGCAGTTGTCACCCTTTAAACAGACCAGATAAACCTTTTACTCACATGCCATAAAGTTAATCCCAGAACATCTCCTGTCCTTTTCTTCTACACCAATGGGCAGCCCTCAGCCTGGATCTAAACCAGGGGTCCTCAAACTTTTTAAACAGGGGGCCAGTTCACTGTCCCTCAGACCGTTGGAGGGCGGGACTATAGTTTAAAAAAAAAAACTATGAACAAATTCCTATGCACACTGCACATATCTTATTTTGAAGTAAAAAAACAAAACGGGAACAAATACAATATTTGTATTTGCATGTGGCCCGCGGGCCGTAGTTTGAGGACCCCTGATCTAAACCATCACAACAATCCTACTGACTCTGGTGACAACTCCATGATAAAGAGCAAATAAGTTTCGCACATTAACCTCGCATTTAGTCATCTGGTTCAGAGGGGATCTACGATACTATGAAAGCTGCTGGGTGTACATTTTTTAAAGTCCTCGAATATTGTGGTATATATAATAAGATATATTCATAAATTTCAATAATTTACACCAATTTAGTGGGTTTGGGGGTATTATAAATTCTCTAATATAGACACCATGTCTTTTCTGTCTAAGTACTGATGGGTTTATTTATACCGTGGATTTAAGGAACCAGGTGTCAGGAAAAAGCACACACACATGCACAAAAGAGTGTTAATAGTTTCCCTGAAATACCCTGTAGCTTCTTGGAATTCACAAAATAATGTCAGCACTCTAAGACCACATACCACTAAACTCTCTATTTTTCTTCCAGATTGTCACTCCTCTACCCCACGTCAAGATATATTTGTGCATACCTTTTACATTTGTACACAGACAGTCACATCACACACACCTGTCTGCATGAACAAACATACCTACACATGTAAAACACAGCCACACATTTGGAGAATATGAAATTATTTCCATTAAATTTAGCTATGCTGAAAAATAGGTTGTATTCATTTGCTAACTGCCATAACAAAATACCAGAGATTTGGTGTCTTAAACAACAGAAATTTATTTGCTCATAGTTCTGGAGGCTAGAAGTCCAGGTTTTATTTCTTCTGAGGTCTCTCCTTGGCTTGCAGATAGCCGCCTTCTCCTATGCCCTTTCCTCTGTGTGTAAGCACCCCTGGTGTATCAATGTGTGCCTAAATTTCTTCTTCTTAGAACAACACAACTCAGGTTGTAGGAGGGCCAAAACTAAGCCTCATTTTAACTTAATCACCTCTATAAAGAGCATATCTTCAAATGCAGATACATTCTGTGGTATTTGGAGGTTAGAGCTTCAACATGAAGAGTTTTGGAGGAAAACAATTCAGCCTAAAATAGAGGTTAATCATAAAATAGCTTTTAAAATCTACAAGTTATTATATTTGTATGTTACATGTACATAATTTTGAATACTCAGTATACTAACTTTTAATGCTTATTTCAAAGTTATATTTATACTCTATAACCCAGCACAAAAACTGAAAATTTTCATCATGAGACTTATTTGTATAAGACTTTAGATATGTTTATTTAAAATATATCTATATTAAAAATAAATAAAATATATCTATATTGTCTTAGAGTCTCAGTGGTTGGTCAAGAAAGAGACTTGGGAAATCACATATCTCATTTAAAATGAAAGCCTTCCCCCATTATCCCAATGTTCTGGTGTGTATTGACCACTATATATCCCTTACCGTTTATCGATATTATTTGTTACTATGGATTAAAAGAGCACAAAGAGAGTCCCTAATTAGCAATTTTCTCACAGCCGCTTTTACCTCTTTGTTTCGTAAACTATAAATGATAGGATTCAACATGGGAGTTAACCCAGCATATACTAAAGCCATAAATTTATCGATTTCTTGTGAATCTACAGCTGAGGGCTTCAGGTACATGGAGAGAGCTGTCCCATAGAACAAAACCACCACAGTTAGGTGGGCTGCACATGTTGAAAAGCTTTGCTTCGACCATCCACTGAGGTGATTCTTAGGATGTTGGAGAGAATAAACGCATAAGAGATACAAATGAGAAGCATCGGCACAGGAAGAAGAAGTACGCTGATCCACCAGCATGATTAGCTGCACTGTGGAAGTGTCTACACAAACCAGTTTCAGGACAGCCAGAATTTCACAAGTGAAATGATCAATGATGTTCTTTCCACAGAGAGACTGATGCAGCACAGACACAGTTTCCACCAGGGAGGTGAGGCAGCCTGCCACCCAGGAGCCAGCTGCAATCTGCACACAGACCCTCTTGTTCATGACGATGGGGTATCTCAAGGGGTTGCAGATGGCCACATAGCGGTCAAAGGCCATCATGGACAGGAGCATGCACTCAGTGGAGCCCATGGCAAGAGAGACGTACATCTGAGTGGCACATCCTGAGAAGGAGATGGTGTTCTTCCCGGAAACAAAGTTTGCCAGCATTGGAACAAGAGCAGAAGAAGTGTACCAGATGTCCAGAAAGGAGAGGTTGCTGAGGAAGAAGTACATGGGTGTGTGGAGGCGGGAATCCAGGATGGTGACGGAGATCAGAACAATATTACCCAACAAAGTGACCAAGTACATCAGCGAGCACAGCACAATTATGGTGATTTCAACTTTGGGGTAGTGAGTAAACCCCAGAAAAATAAAACTTGAAATGACTGTTGAATTTGTCTTGACCATTTTATTCCTTCTTGTTCATCTGTCATAGTGAATAAAAGTATACATTGTATATACTTAAAATTTTAAACTCTACCAACTTTTAAGGGTTTTTTCTTAGGGGTACTTTAAGTGAATCATGATCCTGGCAATACCTATTTATTTATTCATTCATTTAACATGTACCGAACACACTATAAGTCACTGAAGATCTAAAGCTACTCCCAGGCAACTCACAATAAAATCTAAAACACACTCAAGTAAATAGACAGTTATAATGAAATGACATAAATATGCCCCAGGGTACTAGGCAAACATGAAGAATCATAATTCTATGTTGGGAGTGCTGCTCAGTGAGACAGTTTGAGAATTAGTTTAATAAGAAGGTGTATTGGACATACTCAAGATAAGGACTAGGAGAGATTTCTGGGCAAAGAAAAATATTTTATAAAAGCTGCAACAAGAAAATATTTGGTTGCATTTCATAAAGCTGCAAATTGTGTAATATATTGGATGGATATGATACACACTACAGGATATAAATAGAAGATAGAAAAGAGTCCACTCACTGTAACACTGATTTCTCTCTTCGAGAAGGCATTTTTTGTGTATGGAATAATCATGAACCTATACTTGCTTAGAAAGAAAATAATTTCACCCAACAAGTAAGTATTTTATAATGCAAATCAAATTACTTACAATATATTTCACAATTCATCACATATGGCAACACGCTTAAAAACTACTTTCCTATAACATAGAGTTCAAATGAAATCAGTCACAAACACACAAGCCTCACATGCTCATCATTGCCTACTTCTCCAACCTCATCTCCCAATACTCCACCTCCTTACTCTGGTCTGAGACAACAACCAGCTTACCAGCCATTTTATATTGTTATGACTTTAATTTACAGTTTGTTCACCTAGAGTTTCCTTCTTTCCCAGCTCCAATTTTGTCTTTCTCAAATATTTTATCCAATCATTAAAACTATATGCCATTGTCTCAAGTACACTTTATTCTTTATACATACTTATGTGTCACACTGAACCACAGTCATATGTGCACCGCCACTGGGCTGTGTGCTTCTCAAGAGCTTATTCCCCACAAAACTACCAAATAACTCACAGTTACGATTTTTAATGATACAATGCTACCTTGAACTTGGTAAGTTTTGAATACGTGTTAAAATAAGTGGACACTCAGCATCCCCACCGTCCTGCCTGTGGGTGGACACTCAGCACTCCCACAGGACATTTTCGCTATAGTTCTGTGTCAACATAAAAGCCGGAAGACTTCTCAACTTGTAATTTACTTTTGCAATAAATTATGTGCAACATTCAAAAACACTAGTTGCCTTAAGAAGTAAAGATGAGCTCTTATCTTTAAATATTTGATGTACATTGTGTGGGGGGGGGGGTAAAAACAATGACCACTTGCACTCACAGAAGTAGAAATGTTTTCCAAACAATCATTTTCTGCAATGGAGCACCACCTTCAGAGTGTGAGATCTGGGCTCTCAGTCCAACCATGCTACTTACTGTTGTGCAAAATTAGGCAAATCACTTGATCTCTTTGAAACTTGGTCTTCCTTCCTTCATTCCTTCCTCCCTCCCTCCCTCCCTCCCTCCCTCCTTCCTTCCTTCCTTCCTTCCTTCCTTCCTTTTTTAAAGACAGACCCACTGCCTCATTTCCCCAGTGGATCTTGTCATGATTCTTTTTTAAATTTATTTTATTGATTTCAGAGAGAATGGGAAAGGGAGAGAGAAATAGAAACATTAATGATGAGAGAGAATCATTGATTGGCTGCCTCCTGCATGCCCCACACTGGGGATCAAGCCTGCAACCCAGGCATGTGCCCTGACCGGGAATCAAACCGTCACCTCCTGGTTCATAGGCCGATGCTCAACCACTAAGCAACAAAGGCTGGGTGAAACTTGGTTTTCTAATCTGTACAAGGAGGATAATCATTCCTCCCTTGTGCACATAGCAGAGATCTAGATTAACTTCCTTTAAATTCTCCCTCCACCACCCCCTCCAATTCCACAGCTTCTCTAAAATTTCCGGCAATCACAAGGGTCTATGATTTCATGGGCTCCCTGCCCTCCAGAACCATAATTGCCTCTATGCTGCTTCAGTGCTGGCCCACACTGACTCAGATAAAATAACTCTGCACCTCTTCATAACTCATTAAAATTTCAACCAACAATCCATAGGCTAATATGAACACTTTACTGATTCAGGAAGGTGAATGTAAGACATTTCTGGTCTCTAAAGTCCGTTTTGGGCAGCACACACCCCTACTTCCACTGAGGGTTTCTCTATTGGTCTTTCCCCAGCCAGCATTCAGTCTTCTTGCTCCAGCTCTGGGTCCTGTCTTCCCTCTTCTTTCACTCTCTCCACCACTCTCCTGCCCTCCCTTTCAGAAACAAAACAATGAAGTCTTCTCTCATACATATCGAGTCCCCACTCCTTCCCTTACCCTTATCTCACATGTTTGCCAGAGTCTAGATGTTTTCTCTTTCTCTAAATATGACTTCTGATTAAAATAATTAAATGTTTTCCTGCAAGCTCCCCTCTTTAAAATATCAAGGCCAAAGGAGACTTGGAGAATTTATAATCCAACCCTCTCAATTTTTTTGTTGGTTTTTTTTTCTTCTCATTTTTATTGAATTTATTGGCATCAGATTTTAAAGTTGACAGATGCTTGGAGGAGTTTAATGAAATGTTTAAGATAAATGAGAAAAACTAGGGCATAATAATGCTAAAAATTCTATGCTACAGGATGGGGCAAGAGTAGGCTTACAGTTGTGCATATGGAAAATAATACATTAGAACACCAATCCAGAAGACTAGATTTACCTAAGTGACAGATGGATAAAATGTAGGGATGAATTTTAGTAATTTTATCATAAGTGGAAAAAGTAAATCTCAGATATATACAACACGATGTACTTTATATTAAAAAAAGAAAATACAATAATTAATAAAATAATATAAGAATAAACATTGTTTTGTGCACTCACTACTGTAAACCTACTTTTGATCCACCCTGTATATTCATGACTCATTTCTTCAATTCAATATTTTCCTACTAGTTAGTACTTCTTTTTAAAGTACTTCTTTTTTAAAGTGTCTCTCTTCTGGTTTCCTGGCCTACCTGAGACTCATTAACAAATTCTGTAAATCCAAGAATACAAAAAATAGATGGATAATGTCAGTGTCCATTTACCTCAGCATTTGTGATGAGCATCTTCCTTTGGTCAATGTATGCTTCAACATTTAGACTTAGTTATCTTCAGCACAGTCTCTTATGAATCTGGTGCAGGGCTCCAAAGAGCAAAAAATTCTGAATGTTTTAAATTGCAATAATACTTTTCAAAAACTATATTCAAGTCAGCTATGCAGAGGTATTTTTATTCAAAATATTGCAGTGAGAAGCAATATGGATATTCATAGTTTGCAAAAATTCAACCCAAATCTTGCCTGATTCACAAAGTCTCAACATATATAGTTCCTATTAATTAAAAATTTAAAAATAACTTCCTAAGAGAAGTCATGACATGAAGATTTGTTCTGCCAAAATCACTACCTATGATCTGCTCCAAAAAAATTCCAAAGAGTTACCCATGGAACTAATACTACTATTATCTCTTGTTGCTCTTAGGGACCTTCCAACTCCCTTAACAATTTAATATTGTGATTCAGAAACATAAAGTTAAGAAACTTTCCAGTTCCCAAGGGTGTGATTCTCCAAGTTCAGAACCAAAATAAATTGGGCAACTTTAAAAAATTATTTTAAGTCATTTGGCCCAGTAAAAGACCTGTTTCTTGAGCAGCATTTGAGTAAGCAGAACTGGAAGAGACTATTTGCCTATTCCATTCATTCTGTAGATTGCCCTTGAATTATTCAGAAAACATTGCAATTAATAGAACTGTAAAAATGTCTTCCCATATGGCTTCTGAGCTTGTACAGTGACTCATTTATTTTCAGAAATCTCTCCAAATATCTCAGTTACCTGAGTAATAGAAGATACGACATCCTTAGTGAGCTTTTAAATGGCTGCAAAGTGAAGACAGAGCATTGATCAATCAGATAAGTTATTACTATCAAATGCTCCTTGAATAAACTAAGTTCCTAATGCAATGTTTGTGATTCTATATAGATTATATAATAACTAGAGGTCTGATGCACAAAGATTCGTGCAAGAATAGGCCTTCCTTCCCCTGGCTGCCGGCATCGCCTTCGCTTGGGCCCAGAGCCGCCTTTCTGCCTTTGCTCTGGCCAGAGCCACCTTCTACCTTCACACACTGCCCAGAGGCCCGGAGCGGCTGGGGCGGGGCGGAACACCTGTGCCCCAGACCGGCCGCCACCATCTTTGTCATGTCAATTTGCATATATCCTCCTTATTGGCCGTTGGCGCTGCCATCTTTGTCGCAAAGTGATGGTCAATTTGCATATTCTGTCTTTATTAGATAGGACTAGAGGCCCGGTGCACAAAATTCATGCATGGGGTGGGAAGGACCCTCAGCCCAGCCCGCACACTCTCCAATCCAGGGCCCTTGGGGGATGTCCGACTGCTGGTTTAGGCCCGATTCCCGGGATTGGGCCTAAACCGGCAGTCGGACATCCCTCTCACAATCCTGGACCACTGGCTCCTAATCGCTCACCTCCTGCCGGCCTGGTCACCCCTAATTGCCCCCCTTGCCAGCTTGATCACCCCCAACTGCTCCCCCCCTGTTTGTCTAGTCGCCCCTCACTGCCCCCCCGCCAGCTTAATCGCCCCCAAATGCCCCCCCCCTGCGGGCATGGTCACTCACAACTGCACCTCCCCCGCCTGCCTGGTTGCCCCTAACTTCCCACCCTGCCGGCCTGGTTGCTTCTTACTGCCCCCTGCTGCCAGCCAGGTCGCTCCCAACTGTCCCCTCCCTGCCGCCCTGGTTGCTCCTAACTGCCCCCCCCCCCGCCAGCCTGGTCACCTCGTACTGCCCCCCTGCTGGCCTGGTTGCCCCTAACTGCCCCCTCTTCTGGCCTGGTTGCCCCTCACGATCCCCTTCCAGCCTGGTCGCCCCATGCAGCCTGCTTGTTCAGTCATTTGGTCATCCCTCACTAACCCCCCTGCCAGCTTGGTTGTAGTCAGCCATCTTGTGAGGGTGTGAGGGTTAATTTGCATATTACCTCTTTA